TGTTCATGTAAGAGAGTGAATAACGTATGTAGTCAACGTTGTCATCCAAACAACAACCAATGTTCAAATCATTAGAAACATTTATTGTGTACCCTGTTGTGTACAACCGTTGTGTGATTATATCGAATAAATATCACTCTGAGCTTAGATTTGGGTCGACCCGATTTCGAATTGGGTCAGATTTCGATTTGGGTTAGACCAGGTCAATCATAAAATTTTATGCACGAACTGTAATCATGTAAAATATGATGAACGTTTCCTGTCATATTCCCAAACTTTGAATATATTACTTCTTTATCTAAGATTCTGAGTCGCTAAAACAGTTAACGACGAAATTAACAATACGTCAATTTTTTTAAGCCGATATTTATTCGTACTTTGTGACTGAAACACAAGCATGGTAAGACCTTACTAGAGTATTTACTTTCCTTCTCGAGACGCGATAAAGGTCTTACATCAGTGTAATAGATGGTATCCCATATAGTATTTTCAGACTTATTCTTATGTATCTCTATGATAAGATCAACAAACATGTAAATGGAGTTTCCGGTACGCTGGACGCTTGTTAGGATCAGCATTGCAACAGCTCTCCGCAAACTTCTTGTATGCTTCCGGTACTGAAGCGGGTATTGCAGGACGCAGCTCACCCAGAATATCGTATAGTAAATCTCTATCAAATGATCTACTGTATTTCTGAAAGGTGGCTCACCACTGGCAACCAAATACATAATAATACCAAATGCATATATGTCTGATTCCGGGGTAAATCTACGAGTATTGAAGACTTCTGGTGCAATAAAAGGTATAACACCCTGAATGGTTGATTTCGGCCTTGATGCTTGTAATAGTAAAAATCCAAGGTCACATATGAACGGTTTACGGATTCATTGAAAACTATGTTTCCACTATGGAGGTTACAATGTACCAGTCCTTTGAAATGGATGCCATAAAGACAACCTGCGATATTTTTCATGTCATCTTGTTAACATTCGATTCAAATAAGACAAAAGATCACCATCATTAGCATATTGCATCACAATCATGTTGTGTAACTCCATAAATTCGAAGAAAATAATTATCGCTCAAACAAAGTTTGGCATAATTTCTGAACTGTTAAATGAAAAAGATAAACACCAAATTAATATCACTTTAATAAATTGGAGTTTTAATGGCTCGATAATTGCTTACCTCGGATAAAATAATTCTGGCATCTTATCAAAGTTGTTAAATAATTTGAGAGCAACGCGTTCCTGCTGATTAATAGGAACTTCGTCAATTCTATGTTTGACGGCATAAACTGTTCCATAAGCGCCAAATCCAACCTCTTCAATTTCATAAAAATCCGCATATTTCACAAATTTCATATCTCCGTTAATCCGCATAGCTCTATCCAGTATTGCATACAACTCGCCGTAGAATACTAAAAAAAGGTCTCGAGTCGATGGCTCTCGAGTAATTCCAATAATCCAAACGTTATCCGGAGTTAATATCGTTGGGTAATCTTTAGTTAGCTATATCAATATGGAATACAATACAATTGTTACAAAAATCATTGATTAATTAATAATATTTTTACTGTTTGTAAGTAAAAATAGAGTTACCTCATAAAAATCAAATAATTGTCCGTTCTGCCCATCAACTATCATCTTGAATATCACTTTTACCAATTTCTTCTAAGTAATCTGCAATATGTGTGCATCCATGTTGTAGTAATGCCATTTCTTGTGCATTTTTCAGTTGTAAATACTTCCATTGTATATATATATAGTAATAGGCATCTTTATCATCATGCATGTTGCTCCATGATTTCATTATAAATAAATCCAAAGACTTGACTTGTTACCAGCTGTCCCACCAAGAGGTCTTGGTTCTTTACAATGACAACAAAATGCAGTTATATAGGGTATAAAGGGTCCTCTACATGAACCAACTTCTTCTTCTTCTCTTATTAGATAATATTTTTGTTCTTTTGGGTTGTATGTAATTCCAATAGTAATCCAAATGTTTGTAATAAGGATATCTGGATACTGATCACACAGCTTATGAAAAACTAAGCATTGTATTAGCAAACAATAAGCAACCAAAAAACATGTGTTCATACCAAATAGTTTACCTTGTCACAATATGAGTCATCTATCTCATCTGTTACATCAAGTAAGTGGAATCAATTCATGGTAAGAAATAGGTAGATCATTCAAGTTTACTCCAAGCCAGTCGCTACCAATACAACCAAATGGGATCCATTCCAGAAAAGCTTCATTGGGCGAGTTTGTTTGTATTTGTGACTTTTTAATAATCTTGTCGAGTTTCTTATTGTTGCTAGTCCATCCATAAGATAATTCTTTATGCCCACATATACACCATATTAATATAGGACTACATCTAAGTATTCCACATACAGAGCAGAATCCATATTGAGAGTATAAGTAACAATGTTGAAAGCGCCTCTGAGCAACCATATAGTAGTTATCCTCATACTCGGTAAGTCCTTTTATTAAGCAATTGCGACTTAAAAGCCATCCATTCTGAACTGAGTGTCGTGCTTATGTAAGCACGTTGGAAGAGAGTACTTTCTGGCTAAGTTCTGGTGTACACTTTTCATCGTTTCCAAGAAGCAACATCTTGCATAGCTGATGGTTTGGTCAGCAGCACATTGACTTGACTCTATTTTAGTAAACGCAGAATAGGAAATCCATCTAAGACTATAATATTCAGGATTGAACGAAACTGTCAATTGCCAGATTGAAGGTTGATGTACACCTTTGTACCACATTAATTCTGCGGGTTACATAATTTAAATTATTAGGGTTAATATTAGTATTAGAGTGCCATGTAACTGTGAAGTAGCAAAGGCTTTCAAACTACATCATCATAACCACTATATACGGCGTGCGTGTTAACTCACTTCGTTAGTATACTGCAATAGATTTTGAGTCTCACAAGTGTACACACGTGGAATTTCAACCAATTAAATCGTCGCGATTTCAATCAATAAATCACAATCTGCAATGCCACTACTATGAAACAATATGGACATAAATGTTTCTTAAAATAGTACAGTTTAGTCATTCCAACAGGAGATAAAGAAATCGAGGAATTATTTGACTTTATTGCGGAGTGTTATGGCTTGATTTAGAAAGTGATCTCCAAATTCGGAAATTTCGATAATAGTTACTAAAATGTAACAATGTCTGCATATGTGCACATCGAATTGACTACCATAACTGTTGCACTTGTATTGTATACAATAAGTCATCCGAGTATACTCCAAATTATTTAAACCGCAAAAGTAGATTAATTATTAGCCGCAAATAAACATACTTTCAGTAAAGCCGTACACACATTTCAATTATCATATAAGCGCTTGTAATGTCAAATACATATAAAAACGCTTATTTATGTTGCACTTATTGTGAATATTATTCTTAAGTAAAAAGCTATCCGAATGGACAAAAGACATACACACAAAGACCTAGCACTAGTAATATTGTTAGAAGATTTAAACCAATTGAAACTCACTCAAAATATTGGCATTCTGTTATTGGAAAATGCATTCTATGAGAATGCAAAGGACAGTAACGTAAAATCTCAAAATGTATTATTTTTTAATCAGGCCTTTGGCTGTGTCACAATATTTTTGAAAAAGCCGCTATTATGTCATACACTAAACTACGGGTCCGTCCAGAAACAGTAACAGTAACAGTAAAAGCCACCGTACAATTATTGAGATTACAGTATTACCTTGTTTTCTTTGTTCTGTTCCAGTCTTAAGATCTGTCAACATGTGATTGCTTTATCCGAGTACTTTTGATTAATTATTACGGGACTGTGTTCATTGCGTGATATTCTACATAGTGTATGTACAATATTACGCCACGTATCAAGGCGCTAACCAGTTTAAAGCGTAATGTTTTTAAACCTGCAAATGCAAGCGTAAAATTTAAACACATCAATCAGCTTACTACATTACTGTTCTGCTTGCTGCAATAACACGCCTTTTTGATCGTTAAGCTACATATGCGCTGCAAGTGAGTTTCGGTATAAAAATAACACAATGTTGAACGAAGGACAACATCACTCCCATGATAGGGTGTAACAATATTGTATGTTATGTAAACTTCGTCCATTGAATAAAATATTAAGGCCGTGTATTATTTTTAAATTGCCAAATTCAAAAGTGACACGATTTTTGATTTGATTTCTCAGTTATCTTGATTTCTCGCTTTTATCTGTCTCGTTCGTCTATTTTTAAATGTAAACATTCAATTACCTTCCCATTCAGTTAATTTAGTCTTTGTCACAATATCTAAGTGTCGACATCCACTTGTGTTACATTGAACTTGCAGATAAACTGATTTACTGATATTCCGCAATTGGTCGGTTTTTTTGGCCAACTTCTCGAATTGGCAAACAAAAAAAATGTAATGTAACGTGAGGTACAAACAAACAAATTAAACTTTACTTATTTGGGATTTTCATTGTAATCGTAGGAGTTTTGTTTCCGCAAGCGACCTTTGTACTATGAATCTCCCGTCAATATAACATCCTTTATTCAAGCCTCATTTAATTCACAGGACATGTCCTGCAATTACTTTCCTCGCTAGATTCTCACCATGTTTTCTTCCCAGAATCATAATCCCAATTCACACCCTTTTGTCTTTCTTGTCCTTCTCGTTCTTCTAATATTTCCCATCTCTTCTAAATCTCATGATTCTCCGAAAGTATTGACCAATCACTGTGCATTCGCCAACGGAAATCGCTATTACGATTACGTATATACGGGTAATAACAGCATCCGTTACGTTGAGACACCTTTCGATGGAGGTAAACCGTCGTGGAAGAACATTACTATTACATCAGCAATAACCTGGCCAAATTTCACTCGACCGGCATGTTCCGTTACGTCAGATAATATCTTATACGTGACAGGCAAGCCTGACATAATCAAAACATTCGATCTGAATAATAATACAGCTGACTGGCAAATACCACGAACGAATGGAGTGTTGAATGCAAATATAAGTACAAAGTTGTCGCATCTAGAAGGTCATAGGTCTATTGTCGTGAAAACGTTAAAAGGCGAAGAAGTGCTGTTTATTTATGGAGGATGTGAACAGTCGAGAGATACATTCATTTTGAACGTGAAGAATTTGACTTGGGAGACTGTGCTTATAGGGGTGAGTATGCAGACATTATAATAAAAAGAGCAAGGCGCGGTGCCTTGGTTAATTTTTTGCTTCTCTGACTTCATCCATCGTTTCATCTAGCCCGACACTCCACCGCCAATTAGCCAATTTGGTATAATTTCTTTTAAAGACAACATATATATCATTGGGGGATCAATAATCAATGATACTCATACTTATTCCAACGAGAAAGTATGGGCATTCCACGTTCCAACGAGGAAATGGTTTAATCCGGATATGACTTTAAATACCGTATACGATGGATATGCAGGGAAGCTTAACAATACGGTTTACATTATTGACTCGGGTAATCCGTCAAAAATGTGGGCGTGGAATTTAGGTGAGTGTGCGGTTACACGAAAATGAGAGAAAATCTTGGGCAAAACATGGCTAATACTAGATCGATTTTCGTTTCCCGAAAAAAAAAAAAAGTCGATAGTAGCAAAAAACCACTAAAGGTCGCTGGCCCGCCGACTCCTTCTGTACATGATTATTACGCTTTTGCGCAGTTGCCTGACAGTGATGTTATTGTAAGCTTACATTATAGCATTGTAATTATAATTTATCAAGCGATCTTTATTCATTCTACTTCCAATTTTCAAGATTTCCTGGAACGAAACTTATTTAACCGCATTCAACATGACTCAGCAAAATTGGACTGAACAGGTCAACGTAACCAAAGTACCTGTTGATCAGTTCTCTGGCGGACCTCTTGCACCTGGCCAAGAAGACCCATTCCCACCACAAAAAATAAATTCAGACAATTCAGACAATAAACGACTTTCAACTGATGCGCCTGTACCTGTTGTTGTGGTAGCCGCTGCAATTGGAGTGGCAGCGGGCCTATTGGTAATGAGTTTGGGCAGTTATTCGTATAAAAAAATATAACAAGAAGGAGGAAGAGGAGGAAGAAGAAGAGGAGGAGCTGCGAATAGTGAACTCTTGTGCGGTTTATGGAAATATCATTGAAACAGGTTCTCAGAGGCCCAGTTCACAGATTTATCGACCACCCAGATTTGAAGCGTCTGGTTTTCAGAGTGAGCGTTATTCAGTTGCGTCCGAGACAATTCCAGTATCCGACTTTCAAACATTCAGAACTTTACCTCGTACAATTAAAGTAAACTCCACCGCCTCCTTACAATCGAAACTTATAAACGATCTCTATGCTCGGTATAAAGTGACGACTATTACGTCTGAATCCCCATTTATCACTTCGGTCTCTCCATCAACGCCAGCTGGTACAGTTATATTCGACAGGTACAGACTCAACGGGGCACCGGCATACTGTGGCAATAACTCTGTTCGCCATGCAGAGGATGAGACTGTGAGTGAAGAAGTGACAATAAAGTTTTTCTCAAACTATGACTCGTTTGAGCGCGAGGTGGTAATGTTGAAGTATCTTCGATCACAATTTGTTGGTGAATTTCGCGACTTGTTTGATATCCCCAATGCTACTAATTGGAAATACGCTATGATCATGGACCAGTATTCTATGAGCTTGGACAACTTTATCGTGAGTCGATCAGATATCATGGATGAATTATACATAAAGATGGTGGTGAGATCGTTAGCACAAGCAATCCAGCATGTTCATAATCACGGGATAGTGCATCTGGATATTAAACCAGGAAACTTTGTCCATGAGGTGGGAAATATGAACAAGTGGAGACTGATTGATTTTGAGGCGGCAAGGGTCGATGGAGAAGAATATGTTGATAGTAGCACATTACGATATTCGTCACGTAAGTACAAAGTATTGATTATAGTTTCGAGTCGTAAATTCCTTATTCAGTAGTATGCTAATTTTGTTTTCTCCAACACAGCTGAAATAATCAACGCGGCTGCATTGCGTACTAGTATTAAAGCAGATATATCAATGGATATGTGGTCGTTAGGATGTATAATATATGAACTGTATACTAGAAGTCCTCTCTTCTCCTGTGAACAAGATGCTAAGGCTAAATTATTGGAAGCATATTTTACGGAAGACTTTATTTTTCCTGCTTATAGAGTAGCCGATACTCAAGCAAGGCATGTGCTTCAGAAATTGTTAATCAGTAATCCTAAAAAGAGAGCTTCCATTGAGGACATTCTAAGAGGAGCATATTTGACCGGTGGGGCTGATACAACTCAGGTATATCGTCTGTTCTATTATTCCGTTGTATGCAAAGACTCATCTCACGTTTTCTCATCTTTGTTGCTTTTATCGTGACTCAAAGATATACAATATGCAGTCAGAATCTACCGAGAAACTTTCTGCTCAGGTACATATTGTTTGTTCTGCTGCTGCTGTTGGTTTGGTGTTTTGTTGCTTCTGCCATCTGCAAACACTCATCTCATGTCTTGTCGCTTTCTGTAATGTCTCAAAGCTATGCAATATACAGTCAAAGGCCACCGAGAGAATTATTAGTGCCATAAACCAGGCCGCTAATGTGATATTATCACAATTTGATGTGATAGTGAACAGCATATCCGATACTAGAGATGCGACTGTCCCCCGACTGTTCATGTTATTTCCAGGGAAAGAGCCTCACACAATGTTCAAACCACACGCTTGGGGAAAAAATACTTTTATACTCCACATTCTTTGTGAGGGTCTTATCTCTGATAATAGCGAAGCCCATTTCACCATCCATCATGGCTACAAGGTATGTTTCGCCCAACAATATGCTATATACAATGCAGTTTACGTTTATTAACGCGGCAATATATTTGCTATGCAGATATTTGATCCAAAGCCGTTCCTCGCCAAGACTGGTCCATACCTCTCTATCTTGGCCACTCTCGTAGGCTCGGCTGTCGGTTTCTTTACAAGACTGCAATTCCCGGAAAAAATAGCGGACGCAATCGATAGTATAGCAACTAACCAAATGGACTACTTCAAAAAAATAAGCGAAGTTATCAACCAAGCAGAAACGGATGGGTTTATTGCAAAAGATTTAGCAGCAGTACCGAACGATCCACTCAATAGGATGAAATGTGCGCAGGGCCCTGCAATGCGTGAACTTGAGGCGTTCTTGGCTGCTAATGATCCTTCGCATGAATTTGGTGGATTATATCGAATCACCATGAATGACGGACGATGGAGATGGGTTTGTAATGGTTGCAGAGAAAGAGCTTATGAAAATCATCAAGATTAGATTTATATAATAATTACTTAAAAGTGGACAATTAAAGGATAAATAAGATGCAATAAGTATTAATTGTATTCTTTATTAAGTCATCTAGTTAAATAGATTAATATAATAAAAAGTTAAAGTTACCAATCATAGTATCTTACTACGTTGCATTAGGACTTTGGAAAAGTTCTTCTATGTATGAAATGAACAAAACGGTTAATTCGAATTAAGTTGTATGTAGTTCGCCAAACATGAACGTCTGGAAAGGAAATTGGCGATCTTTTATTCCGTTCGCGTAAATATCCTCCTTCAACCCATACGACACAATCATTGTGTAGAGGCCACTTGTTTCCTGTTTGTCGAACAAAGTATATATTATATATATTATTGTACACACACTTGTAGCAAACAAGGTTTTGGGATGAAGTATAGCATATATATTTACACGTGTATAACCGCATGTTTTCGTAATGTAACTTGTATACTGACGACCAACACTTTATTTTATCTGTCTGCTGTACAGAATAACATGGTCTTTGAAATAGAGAGTGGTATTTGCGCATACCTTTCTTCCCATTCACTATCAGAATGCCATTCTTCCTATGAACTACATAAAATTTACATGCTCAGAAAATTGACCAATCGCGTTACTTTTCTTGATAAATACATGCCAAACTTTCTACTTTTCAGTTATTGGCATACGAGCGGTCTCCCCGGTAACTAGCAACGACAAACGACAAACTTATTTCGTACTTATAGTTTATAAGAGAGCGATACTGATTACGATACAGAATTCTCGAATATAACAAGCTTGAAGGTATTTATAACATCGACATTTCTCTATAAAACAGCTTTTGAAATTTCATGCGCTCTAGTAGTTTGTGAAAAACACGAAAATACTGAGTAATTGCAGTCATATGTAAAACATTAAAGTATAGTGTATGTATTTTCACGAGCCTACGGAATGGCCAATTCTGACCTGGGCCAGAGCATATATTTCGTATTTCCAGAATTGCGGACGACTTCTCATACACAACCTCAGTAGTAAATATGTAGCCCCTTGCTTTCGTAATGTATTGGTCAACAAATACATTTCAAGTGACAAAATTAAAACTTGCTGAGAAAAGATTTAAATAGTACAAGAAACGTTAGAAATTGTCGTGAACGAGATATTGATGGTATTTACACGGTATAGCTGTTATCAAAACCGAATAAAAAAAATAATTGTTGCAAACAATATTACAATATAACGTTTTGTATGCAAATTATTGGATGTTTTGACGAATATTTAGTATAAGTATGAATTATCCGAATTGACTACCACATTATTAATAAAATACGCGAGATCGATTTTCATGAAATTTAGTAGTCCTGTCAAAGTTGCAATATTATATATTAGTTAATTATTATATGTTGAACATCATTAAACTTTGCATTTGAAAGAAAGTAATGTAATAAAAGTCTAAAAAAATTGAACTTTATTAACATTGTAACAAGCTTAATATTTGGACATACCGGCTATAGCAGTCCGGATAACTGGGTACTGGACTGAGACGCCCCGAACTGACATTGAGAATTCAATGTTTTCAGTCCAAAATTGAGACAGGTATACAACACGGGTACGTGAGTTCGTGAAGGGGATAGAATATTTTAGAGAAGTATTTGTTTTGTTATTTTTTATTCAAATTCTCAAGCTCGTGACAGAACTGTGACTTTCTTGATTGTTTGCAAACAAGGTTATAGCTACGCAACCGAAGAGTTAAAACCTTAACTGCTGAACTAAGAAAGAGTAAAGAGTTCGACATGACGAACAAAATGTTACTAACTCTACACTCGTTGGGTTAAGCTTTTTCCCCTGAATCTTGGGAGGAATACGAAGAGTCGGAAATATTCGTGTACCATTATGTTTGGGATAATTGTCAATCAAACAAGCCCATGATGAAACGAGGATGAAAAACACCCTCATGCTTAGCTCATCTTATCGTTATGCTTTAAAATCAGCAAGGAAAAAAAAATCAAAAACGCAAACTACTACCACAAATCCCATCATTGTAAACGAACATCGTGACACCGACTTTATTTTGCAAGAACTCATCAAAGTTTTATTCATTCAACTTGTATTGACGTACGAGTTATTGAAACACATATTCGGTATAGAACTTTTTGTTGCCAAACTGCAGAGAGTGCTATAAGTATTAACTGTAAATAACTGTGATTACAAGTTTATTCAAGAATAGTCGCTAAATTAGAAGGCAATAGACGATGTTAATATTGTAAATTGCTCGTTTATTAACATGTAATCAGCCGTTATCGACATACCTGCAGCTGAATCCAAATCATAATTGTAACTGTTTCTCGGTTTGGGTAGACCTTTGGTAGGTAAGAGCTTACTGGAGTATTTACTCTCCTTCTCGAGACGTGATAAGGGTCTTACGTTATTATTATAATAAATGGCATTCCATGTACCCTTGTCCATTACTTTAAAAAGGTCTTTAACATCCTGTCTAATTGCCCATGCATCTGGACGCTTGTCAGGATCAGCATCGCAACACATATATGCAAGCTTTTTATATTCCTCTGGTGCTGAATCAGGCATCGGTGGTCGTAGTCCATTCAAAATATCGCATACCAAGTCTGTATCAAATTCTCTATCTCTAAATGGTGGCTCACCAGTGGCCATCAAATACATAATAATACCAAACGAATATATGTCTGATTTTTGAGTAAATTTGCAAGTATGAAAGACTTCTGGTGCAATAAAGGGTAAAACACCTCGAATGGTTGAATTTGATTCATGTGAATTAACTGATTGTGAGAGACCCAAATCGCATATAAATGAATTGGTTGCACGAAAATCGTTCTCTGTCCCAGACATATAGTTATGCAAAACTATGTTCCCGCCATGAAGATCGCAATGAACCAATCCTGCCACGTGAATATAACTCAGGTACATTACAATATCATCTAAACACCGTAATTTCATCTCCCACGTCAATTTGTTAATATTTTGACCCATATAAGACAAGAGACTACCCTTGTTAGCATATTGCATGATGATCATGTACTCTTTTGTTACTGGGTCTTCCGTCACTCCATAAATCTTGAGGAAATAATAGCTTGAACACTTGACATGATTTCTAACCTATTGAGTGAAAATAAATACAGAGTCAGATTAAATATCACTTTAATTAATAATATCAACAGTTGCTTACCTCGGAAATAAATAATTCCGCTGATCCATCAAACCTCTTAAACCGTTTGAGAACAACAATTTCTGGTACCCGCTCTCCTCCTTTATATTTGGCTTCTCCTTTATATTTGGCAGTATAGACTGTCCCATAACCACCAGATCCAATCTCTTTGAGTTCATAAAAGTCGGTATACTGCATATGCTTTATATTTATATTAATTTTAATAGTTCGTATAAGTCTATCCAATAACAATTCGTCGTGATAGAATACCAAATAATATTTTCGAGTAGATGACTCTTGAGTGATACCAATAATACAAGTATTATCAGGTGATAATATCCACGGGTATTCTTTAGTCAGCTATTTGAGTAAACAAAATACAGGACAACGTTAACGTTACAACACTGATCGATTTAAACGTGCGATACACACGTGAAATAATTTACCTGATGGAAATCAAACGATTGATCATCATGCCCGTCGTCAACTATCCGTTTGAGCATCACTTTTGTCTGTTTATTAGTTGTCGGATCTAACCAATCTGCCATATGTGTGCATCCATGGCCTAATAATGTCATATCTTGTACGTTTGACAATAGAGAGTATTCAATCCATTGTATATACGCATCTTCTTTGCTACTCGTATTCTTCCATGACTCCATAATAAATGAATCCAGTGACTTGTTGTCCGTAGTCCAATCGACAGGTCTTGGTGCTTTACACCGATAACAGAATGTATTTATCGTAGGTTCTAATCGCTCCATACACGCCAAACATAATCCACATCCCCAATATTCCTTTATTAGGCAATACTTTCCCCCTCTATAAGTGAATCCAATGGTAACCCAAACATCAGTGGTAAGAATATCTGGATGCTTATCACATAACTAGTGAAAATGATATATAAAAGTCAATAATTATTTAAACTATTCAATAAACATGACGCATAAGTAATTAGTTTACCTCGGCATAATATAAATCATG